AAATAAAAGTAACGACTTTATACTTCTTGTCTTTTTTTAAATGTAAGAAGTAGAAGTAAAAAGTAGGCTGAAAATAATTATTCGAGTAAAGTACAGATACCCCAAAAAGTATTTGTACTTAGTTACTTTACAACTCTGGCTCCAGAGCAGCAAACTGCCAAGATCATTTTTGTCTCATGTGGTCAAGTTGTTGATCATCTCAGTGCCCCTGGCTGCTTTCGCTTTTACAGAAGCAGAAAGGGTGAACATCATTTTCCAGATGTCAAAGAGTTTGTTGTGTAGTTTTATAAAGTTAAGGTTAAAAGTGAATAATTTTAGAGCCTGATAAAGATCAAATCATTTTTATTAYGTCCTGATACACAAAACACCAAAACTGAAAGTAGATGTGTTTTCATGGCACTGATTCACCTTGTTCTGGTGCTGTAGGCATGATCTTCTACAACGGCCAGAGAAAGTCCACAGGAGCTGATTTTATCTCCCTGGGACTTGTGAGCGGTCGCCTGGAGTTCAGGTCAGGGCTCTGAAGTGCTTTTAATAATATCCCAAAGAATAAAGACATGAGGCTTGTTTAAAACTATAACTCAGGAAATGTATTTTATCCCAGGTTTGACGTGGGCTCTGGAATGGCTACTATAAGGGACCCCAACACCATAAAACTGGGAGAGTTTCACACTGTTGAGTTGCATCGAAACCTCACCCAGGGTTATATTATTGTAGATGGAGGGGAGCCCATCAGTGGCACCTCACAGGTACGGCAACCTTACCATTGTCAAAATTATTAAATGTAACTCCAAATGTAGTTCGTTTTGAATGCAAAACTAATTAAGACTGGCAACCATCTTGATTTTTATTAGTTCAGCTCAGATTTTCTTCTCTCATCAGGGCAAGTTCCAAGGCCTTGATCTGAACGAGGAGCTGCATGTAGGTGGTTACCCCAACTACACTGTTCTCAGCAAAACTGCTGGAATTAAGACCGGTTTTGTGGGTAAGACTTTCTATCCTTTCCACCATAACTATAATAATAAGAAAGAAAAAGTTACATGTATAAGGTGTTTTCCTTTCTGGATTTTATGAAGGCTGTATTCGTCAGTTGGTCATTCAGGGAGAGGAGGTCATTTTTAAAGACTTGGACCGCAGCTCTACAGGTGTCACAAACTGTCCCACCTGCAAAGATCATCCCTGCCAGGTTCATAAATGTCAATTTTGCTTTTTCGTTTGTTTGTTTGTTTGTTTTATTTTCCATGCTTTATTCCAGCGTATCTAATTAACATTTCCTGTCTTTTTCCAGAATGAAGGCAGGTGTGAGGACTCAGATGCCAGCTTGTATAAGTGCAACTGCCCCAGAGGATTTACAGGCAGCAACTGCCAGCATCACTCATCTCTGCACTGTCACTCAGGTATACAGTATGTGAATCACTAACTGAGCCTGCAAGTACGTTAGGACCACAAGTCTTCACCATTAGGGAGTTGTGCACATGAGTAAAATAAACAATCTGTGTTTTTGTTGTTTTGGAACGCTTCCTCCTTCAGAGGCTTGTGGACCTGATGCTACTTGCATTAATCGCCCAAAYGGTCGAGGCTATGACTGCCGCTGCCATCTTGGCAAATTTGGGGATAAATGCATGGAAGGTAAGACAACAAGTAACTGTATTATTAATACAACTAGTTATACTTTGATGCTCGCTCTCTTGTTTGTTTGTTTGTTTCTGTTTTTCACTAAATACTTTGTTACTATTTCTATATTCCTTCCTCCTTGKTAAATAAAACCAGGGGAACTGGTGACAACTCCACTGTTTACCGGYGAGGAGTCATATATAGCCTATCCTCCGCTGACCAATGTCCACGATGACCTGCGTGTTGAGCTGGAGTTCAAGTCACTGGACAGAAATGGCCTCATGTTCTTCTGTGGTGGAAAGAAAATGAAGGTGGAGGACTTTGTGACCATTTCCATGGTGGAGGGACATGTAGAGTTCAGATATGAGCTAGGCACAGGTAACGTTTACTTTGTGTGTTTGCTGAATAACCAGTGATCTGACATGTGGAACAGGTGCTGCTACAGCTACTAGGGCTGTGTATTGGCAAGAATTTGGCAATACGAAACATATCATGACAGAGGGGTCACGATACGATATATCCCGATATATTTCGATACCGTAAACAAGGAGATCAATTGCGATATTTTTGGTCCAAAAATTCTATTAAATAAAAACCTCTTACTGGAGAAAAAAAACAAAACAAAACGAAAAACCAAAATTCATTGTCTCAGAAAATTCTAATATTACACAGACATCCATCCATACAACCCTATGTAATAAAAGTAGTGATAATTAAACTATCAAAACCAAAAACAACACATTCTGCCTCCTATTTAACATGAATATTATTTTGACATCTGACTTGCCAATTTTTTAAACCAATTTTATTTTCACTTTCATAGTTTTATCTTCAACTGCTTCTAGTTTTAACTGTCTTGGATGTTCATAGAAATGGTTTTTACCAGCTTGTAGCCAAGATTCTGATGTTTTTGTAGATACCAAACATGTTTATAAAAGAACTTAGAGTAATTAAAGTAGAAAACCGGGAGTTTGCTGTTAAAGGCCCTCACATACTCAGGCGTACTTCAGTCCGCGGAGGTCCGCACGGACTCGAGGCGGACTCACTGCGGACTCAAAGCGGACATCCGTCGGACTGGTCCRCGCAGAGATCCGTTTTTTTATGTCTGTGTCTGCGGTGCTCACAATAAACTGCATGACAAATACTGTTTTGGATGCGACACCAAGCTGATAAAGTTSAGAATCGGTGTCATTTGTGGACAAAATGGAGTCAAATTTTGAAGAGCGTCTCATGGAGGCAATTAGAAAACTTTATGATGCATCAGTGAGGAAATAGCTCAGATCTTGGGTAAGGTAGTTCTTTTCTTTTTTTCTTATGGAGTTTAAACGTAAATTCAACTTGGAAGTCTGGTGACCTTACCTGCTCCTGCAGACCTCCATCTCAAGCTCAGCTGTGTCCAATCATCCCAACTCAGCTACGTCCAATCAGCTCCCGTCTGCCAGTAAATAAAAGCCAGTCATCTCCATCGCTCAGTCTGCGTGCCAGCCGACCATCGGGTCGCTTCCCAAAACGTCGCAGAGGCAGGCCAGCATCTGCTCATCTGTTCTCATTCGGCCTCCTGGCCCCTCTTCGCCTTCGTCCAAGGCGGTCGGCCGCAGCCGCTCCAGCAGCTCTGGCTCCCGAAACCAGCCTGCTTCGCTCCACCTGTCCAGCGTCCTGCGCCTCTCCAACACGCCCGTCGCCTTAATGTGTTCACTTCAACTCTCCTCATCGACGCTTGTTTCACGCATGCAGCAAATTGRCTATCCCAGCCCAGACTCAGACTCAGACTCCTCTCAGCTTCTGCCTCTTTTTGGGGGATTAAATCTCCTACCCCTAACCTAAAGCATCTCGTATGAGATTACAGCTTCACTCAGCGGTCTCGTCCTCTGCCGGGGTCCGAGAGCCAAACTCTAATGCCATTTATGTCATAACGTTGTTGGTCCGTTCATGTCAATAAACCTCCTAAATTTCATTCCGTCTCATGTAAGTCTTTCCAGGTTGAATTGTTGTTTTAAAGGTAAAATGCAAACTGTCTCTTCCTCCTCATCCTTCACATCATGACAGAAATTGCGAGAAATTAAAGAATTTTTCCGGCGGTCAGTACGCTCGAGTATGAAGCGTCRAACATCCGCAGACAATATGTGCGGAGTCCGCGCGGCTCATGGAATGCGCACAGTACGCTCGAGTATGTGGGAGCCTTTAGAGATGAGTGAACTAATTGGCGGGCCGAACTTTGGTCAGTCGCGGGCCAGATGTGGCCCATGTGCTGCCAATTGAATAGCCCTACAGTACAACCCCTGGCAAAAAGTATGGAATCACTAGTCTTGGATGAGCACTCATTCAGACATTTCATTCTGTAAAACAAACTCAGATCAAAAACATGATACAATAATAAGGTCATTCCAAAGTGAAACATGTTGACTTTCAGGAACACTCAAAGAAAAGTCAGTGAATGAGGAAAAAAATATGGAATCACTCAATTCTGAGGAAAAAAGTATGGAATCACTCAAATTGGAGGTAGAAAATAAGGACACTCCCAGTTAATTTCCTTTCCCTAAATGGACACCTGCCTCAGATTAGATCTGCTC